ACAGGCTCACCCGCCTGAAAAAGCAGCAAAAACGAGTGAGAATATGATGACTTTGAATGTACAGGTGTATATATATATGATATAGTATATACGTATGTCATAAATACAAAATATAGATATACAATGAACAATCTGATATTCGGATGAATTTGACGTTTTTTGACGGTTTTAGATGGCTTTAGATGGCTTGAGGCTATTTCTCGCGATTTTCTTGATGATTGGGAATATTTACTCTAGAAATCGCTGAGGCATAGTGACCAATCCTGACAAAGAAACCATTTACTACTCCTTTATTTTCCAAGATTTAGAATTGACAAGAGTGAGACAGGGATGTTCATGTCCACGTTCCTCAATGACTAGACAGTCGCACAGTCAGAGTCAGACATTTGGGTGGACTTCTTATCATCAATGATCACTGGCGTTTCCTGGTCCCAACCACACCAGGTCGAGCAGTCCACCCTCTTCGACGAATTGCAGAGGAGCCAGGCATGGACATAATCCAAGTCGTTGCGAAAAAATGACTGAGCAGTCAAATCATTCGATTTTGTGCCATAAATGTGGAATTTGCGGGGGATCATGACAGCGAGACTGCTACAGTCCGATAATGTAAGTGCCAGAAATGGGGCTATATATATATATGTATGCATGCACCCTGCTATATTTTTGTAGGGCATCTAAAATCGGCCATGTGTGGATGACATGGTTGATCCAAGACCAGATCATTCTGGTTCTGGCTGTGGAGATGCTGAGCAGAGATAGACTTGAAGTTTGACAATCTTGAAGCGATGCATCTCAAGTTCATGGCATGGAGTCTCCTGTCATTTTCCGGAGTAGTTTGTTGATAACGATGCTTCACGTCCAAAGTACAAGCGGTTCATTTTCAACAGACAGACTTTGGTACTTCTGTCTATACCCTTGAGTTTTGGTCTACTTCTTGGCTCAGAAGGGAAAACCTGGATCGAACAGTGAGCCAATTTGCCCGAGCACACCTGGACGGTTTATTTTGATGCGTTTAAACTGGGAGATTTCACAAGAGCATCAATGTAGTCTAGTCGGTCAACAATTTGATGGCGTAAGCCCCCAAAGAGATGTCATGCAGGGATTGAAACTATGAGCACGAGGAGCATGAGACATGGGTCAACTCACGGTGAGTTCCCTGAGCCACAGTGGTGGTGGATTCACCATGCCAGGTGAAGATGTGTCAAAGTCTTAGATCATGGGAGGGGTGAAATAGGGTACCCTGGATACCCTGATTTAAAATGATTTAAAGCCATGTGAATGGGAAGTGACAATCAACTGTAGACGACTTTCCGGGTGGCCCATCGTTCGACAAACCCAAATGGGGACATACTCTCTTCCGGGTTGGATATCTATGCTGGTCGGGGACTACGCTTGTGGATAACTGGTCCAAGTGCCCTTCGTTAAAGGGTAGTTGTTGGATACCTGGTGCAGAGTCCGTGCAAAAAAGCTCCGAAGACTGTGCAGTCCAAGCAGTTTGTCACACCAGAACGGGTTTTTAGCGGTTGGTATTCCCAGCCAGTCTAACAACTGTGAGTTTTTCAGAAGAAACTAGTAATATCTAGTGTCTAGATGTGTCTTGAACGTTGATCATTTCCCTGCAAAGCCACTTCTTACCCTTTCCAGTGAAACTCAGCCGTGGCGAGGGATCCCAAGATCTGGCTCTGGCCGGCATAAGGCGGCCGTGCGTACTACCCTGTGTACCTCCAGGCAAAGTCCCTGGTGGCAGGCACCAATTTTCCGACTGTCGACTGGTTTCAAACGTGAATTTTTCGAGCCTCAAACTGGGATGACCATGGGCTCATTGGCTAATGTGTTGTATTATATTCTGATTCAGTTGAAACCACCGAGCTCATTGATTGACTTTCAATTCTCTTAATCCCGAAATCATTATGTTTATGATTGTGCTTACCCAACTTCTGGAACTGGGGGAAAGAACGAGACCCGAAGCACCAATGAAAAGATGGTAGTTTTCGGGTAGTAATTGGACTGGGGAGATCCCCTCCAAGTTCTTCGTCAAATCGGAAGACTGACTCAGAACCTTGAAAACTCTTCGACGAGTCTCACCAGAGTGTCACAACAGACCTGTCCTCACAGTTTTCAGCCTTCCTTTTAATAATGTTTAATCCCTATTCTGATGAGCAAAAACACCCTGAGGTCAGAAATCCCAAAACCACAGCAAGTTGCTGGCTCAAGCCCTGGCAAGCTTTAAGAGCCCGAGTCATTGAGGTTTTGGCGTGGATTGCCCGCTGACGTTTATATCAAGTCGTCATGTTCAACATACAATGCTTCACTTTTCTGAAGGATTTGTTTTGCTGTTTCCAGCCTCTTTGCGAAAGCAACGCCTTTTTTTTTCGTCGCATGGGCCCTTCGATGGAAGCACCTGCTGCGATCATTTACCGGCGAAGCTTCGAGGTGGAGAGTTTAGTTTGGGACTTGGATGACATGGAAATGATGGAAAAATCAGTAACGAATAGGATTATATCTATTATTGATATTAACTATCATAATCCCATTTGTTAACTATTATAGTCCCATATAGAAAATGTTGATGATTTCACCATCAAGAAATGGGCTATGGTATGGATATATAATGATATATGAACCAACTGAACCTGCTTGCCGGTTTCAGTCATATTGGATTATGTGGTTTTCAAACAAAAAATGTGGGATGATCATCGCAATGGGCGGGCTCACATTTTTCGGTGTTGAAACCACGAATGAGTTAGCGGCCCCAAAGATTTTCCCTAGGCAGGGAGTTTCTGCCAAAAGCCTTGGGGGAGCCGTGGTGGCTAAGTGGTGGCTAATAACCCTGGTCAACCCTGAAACATAAGGCCGCAGTATATTTGTAGAAATATATATATATATGGTACTTTTGGAGGGGCAATCAGCATAGTTTGGTGAGTTCACCATGGCGACCATGGAACCTGTTGAGTTTTTGATGCCCTTAAAGACTGGCTGTAGGGTCTGGATGAAATCCCTAGTTTTAACTGCTGAAAGTTCCCATTAAAATGGGTCCAAACCCATGTACCCCATACATATAGATGAAATGCAATATTTTGGAGGCAAATGCCCCGTTTTGAGACCAACCCAGATCAACCCATCAGGTAGATTATCTCCCATCTGTTTTCCCAATATCTCCCCATAAATTGGTTGTTCGACAAGTCCATGTCCATGCATCATTCATTTGTTTCATCCCGATTGTAAAATCCCCATTTCGGCTGGACATCTCAATTGGTTTTAAACCGCTGAATCCTGATGGCTTCCAGCTCTAGGCCTCAGCTTTGGAGCTTTGGCAGTATTGGGGAACGCTGGGAATCCAGGAAATGTGTGTGTGTAGAGTCATCTTTGTACATATACATATACATTTAGATATACATATACATTTAGATATACATATACATAGACATATACATTTACATATACATAGACATATACATTTACATATACATAGACATATACATATACGTATACATATACATAGACATATACATTTACATATAGATATACATATACATAGACATATACATTTACATATAGATATACATATACATATACGTATACATATACATATACATAGACATATACATTTACATATAGATATACATATACATTTACATATACGTATACGTATACATATACATACACATATACATACACATATACATATAGATACATTTACATACATAGTATACATACATAAAAGATTTATATAACTACAACCTGGGATTTGATGATCCAGTGATAGTCAGGCAAAGCTCAAAGCCAGCATTGATGCTCTCGTTCTAAAACAATGAAATGTGCCTAAAAAAACATGTTTGAACCCATTCCAATGATTGAAACCCTACGAACTAAAATATCTTTGGAGGGCTCACAAAAGACAGCAAACATTCAGGTTGAACAGGAACTGTTTTGTTATACAACTTTGGTCAGAGTTCATGTGGATGTATTGTTTGAAGTGTAGAAGGATCAACAGATCTGTTCTCCGCTTATCCCTTCAAGCACTGTATGCCAGAGCATCTTGATGCCTTGTGTGGGGGACTGGTACTGGTTTGCAACTCAAGCTCAGGTATGGCGAGGGTACAAGGGGCAAATCATACATGGAGTATCCGGCAGACCTTCCAAGTTGAAAGCATGGTTGATAACCAGCATATCCTGGCTAAACGGGTACGCACCCAAATCACTTATCACAGGTTGTTTTGTCGCATTCGCCTGTATTAGTTAGTTACCTACCCGTAGCCCTTTCCAACATGGACCAGCCTCTGTTTGGGATGGCCGGGTTCCAGGATTGGACCCATAGACACATCATTTGATCCACAGGAGAAATGGCAAAGCACAGCACGAGAGCAGAAGGGACCCATCGGTGACCACAACAACTTGGTCTTTATCTGTGAGGGGTGGCTTGTCTCCGGCGTATCGATCAAACGGGTGATGAATTGCAAACAGGATTTGAGCAGCACCAATGGGATTTTAACCATGGTTGTGGGTCAAAGCTATCAACCTTTATCAACCCCAAAGTCTTGGATGGTTTCTGATCCTATGACCAGTGTCTTGTGTGTGTGTGTGCAGTTCGCGGCCAGTGACTGTCAAGAGGGTGCTAAGCCCGAATAATTGCCTGCAATGAGTCACCTGTAACTCCTTCTGGACGATTTCTTGAAAGCTTTCGTTGCTAAGTATTCTGAATGGCAGGCCTCAATAAGAAATCAAGCGAACGAACCCTGGCTCTCAGACACGAAGTTCAAAATGGAATTCATGACAGTTGGAGTTGGAAAAGCCCTTGCGCTTCAATTTGCGTGAATGTCCAATATGGTCTTGTTGATTCGTGGTAGAACGCAATTAGACCTAGCCACCTAGCCACCTAGCCACCTAGCCACCTCAAAATCCCCATTGAACATCTGGACACCGTGGAAGTTGATGGCAGGATAATCCGGGTAACCTGTTGAGCAGTCCTCCGCTTGAGCAGCTCAAGGTCTGACCAGCTGATGGTCGTGGAGCTTTTTTTGAAACCTTCTAAGTGCCGTGGCAAAAAATGGGGAAGATTCAGGAAGATCATGAAATGTCATGAAATGTCATGAAATATCACATCCTGCAGAGTTATGGGTTGAGGGAGAGGGAATACAAGAATAGCCTGCCTCTTTGAAAAGGAAATTTAGGGTCCACGTGACATCAGATGGCGGGCTTCCATCTGCCAGATTTTGGGGGTGACCGATGTTCAAACCACACTGGTTTGAGTGAAATGAGCCATCTTATTGGGATGGTGGGCTAATGGAGTCATGACGATGTTCCTTACAACGATATACCTTGCTGGATTCTGGTTCCACCTGTTCGCCATCTTTCTTTCTTACCCATGATCTAGTCATGGCTATGTTGTACCAAGCAACTCATGAACTTGTCCTTTGCGGTTCCCAAAAGCCTTTTAGAAAGACTTTCGAAAGTTGCGCTCCACAATTTACAAGCATAAAGTAGAATAGAAGTCACAAGCTGATGCTTTTTTTTGTGTTGTTTGTGTTTTTCCTGGTTTGCGTGTGAACTTTCGACCCATTGCCGTTATGGATCGTTATGGTAAAGCCCGAGCGGCCCAGGACTTCACCATCGATGCTACGCCCGAGAAGGAGCCATCACTTTCCGAATCTTTCCATCAAAAAGTACCATGAAACTCATGAAATACCAACGATGGGGTTATATTGGTTATGAATATAAATAATATTTTTGAATGGTTATGTTATGATTTGTTGATGTTGATATGTTGGATATTCTTATTATTATCATTGTTTTTTATTCATTATCATTGTTTTTATTGTATCTGGCTTTTGATATGGTGGATTCTGCATATGGGTGTTTGGGTAGATATTGATCCTATGCCAGGCTTTAGGATGTACACACTATCAATCGAAAAGACCTGTTCTGCGATCTCGCTGTCCTGCCTTTCGCCTGGCTTCTGATCCTGGCTTCTGATCCCGTTACTAGGAAGCTTCATTTTTATCGGTAGATCATCTTTCATGGAGAAATTTCAATGGTCATGTCAAAATTTCAGTTGTATATGGCTGGCGATTGACGATTTGATTCACCCCACAGGGGCCCAGGCGTCGGTTGATGCTCTGATAGGCTGCGGCACCGCCTTATCTAGAAGCAAAGCGCTTGTTTTTCGGAAATTTCAGTACCATGCCTTAAAGAACATGGACCAAAGATGAATCCAAGAACAGAAGCTTGAAGCAACAAAATTAGCACGTCGTTAGCAATTTCACCAAGTTATCGCCAGGAGCAAAGTGCCATGCCTCCAATGGGAACTCTTCGCCCCGTCGCAGTCCCTGGAAGCCGTGGTCTTTGGCAGCGGCCGCTACAACGAAGGCGGCAGCACCTTCAGTGCCTCGATGGGACTTGAGGACACCGGTTGAACCATTTCACCGTGGAGATTTGCGAGATTGAACCAGGGAAAGACCGGAAATATGGAAATAGATGGGGAAAATTGGCACCACAGTGGCAATTCTACAGTGCATGCTGATTTTCGATTTGCCGCCAATCCCAAGCGACTCAGGTGGGGTCGATCTTGGCTGGAACGCCAGCGACTGGTCCTTGACCGAAGAATCTTGACTGAGCCCAAAATCAAACGTTTGAGATTTGAATCTGATTTGATCATTTGAGATGGGAATGGCGCGGATTGCTACAGTTGATGCTCACAAGGATGGAACCAGAACATGTCCCAACGATTCGTTGGGTGGGCTGGTCATGGAAATTTTGCTGAGTCTGTTGTAGACATTCAAGATTGTGTCATGTCTGGTTGTTGGACTGCCGTTTGTTTTGTTCTATATTCCTTCAATTCCTACCACTCCCCAAGATATTCAGCTTGCATAGGCTCACCATCATCAGCTAGGTCAGATTGTGTGGGTATGTTCCCTCATAGAACTGTTGTAACATCTACAAAACTGATCTGGCCAAGCTCAACCACCACAATGTCAGGACTCTGATCCACTCTTCGTCGTCGCAAGTGACATGGCTCTGGAAGCAACGGAGCCCTGAGGGCCGGGGTATCAAAATGTGAAACCAACAAAGGTGACAAAGTTGGATGCAAAAACTCAGAAAGAGGATGGCAAGTCAAGTTGAAGATAACTCACTAGAGGACTCATATTGTGAAGAAATTGAAGAAATATAAAGACAAGAGGACATACGCAGCCACAAAGGGGATCCTGAAGACGAAAACCTCATGGAAGGGATGGGCCTTCGGCGAGTCACATTTGCACAAATCTTGGTACAGTATCTACATTTCTACATTTCTACATGGCTAGATTTCGAGGGGTTATTTCATACCAGGGGCATCGGCATCGTGCAGATGGCTGGCAAGGAATGACCCAACCGGATCATACCGGATCAACCTATATCTATATGAATCTATATCGTCTTCATTTCTTCACTGAAAAGCCAGATGAATCGGATGACTCGGATGAATCAAGGAATGCATATGAATGGGATTCCCATCACGGAATGGAGCTGTTAAGATGCCTGTCCTGCCCAAGGCTACTCAGCTCCGCGGTCGGAATTGCCACGTCTCCGAGACATTGGGAATCTTGTTGGTGACAGCAGTTTTGCCAGCATCCGTGTATACAATTATACCGTATACCTTAAATTGTCCTTATCCTATGTTTTGCCCAATATGCTATATATGTGCATTCAATATCATTTGCCAAATAAACCAATGCCAAAATAACCTGGGTGGGCTTGCATGAACCCGCCTCGGCAGTCGCATGTTTTTTACAAAAGTTGGGCAGCATGGATCGGCTTGTTCCAACCATGCCATACCCCACTGGCAAGAAGATGAAACTTGATAAAACCTGGTAAAGTCATGTAAAGTCCGCAAGTGAAAAATGTCTGATTGTTTCTGGTGGTCGTTCCTCCAAGGAGGCGACACTACGAGCGAATTCGGGAAAAGGAGCAGCGTGGGTCCTTGCACCGTAGCACTTGATCCTTTTGGGAAAAACCAAGGGAAGTTCCCGGGCAGAAAGTTCCAAATAGCTGTGTAGAAACCCTTCCTCAAAAGTAGAAGCTCATGGCGAAGATAAGCTCCATTTGCAAGTGGGGTTTTGTTACATTGGTACGCAAAGGGAATCGTTAATGGCTTTGGTGCTCAAGATAAGTTTTTGACACCAAGGCACTACCAGTGGAGTTTCTCTCATGGAGAAGCATCTTGGTCAGCAGGATATGGAGGGACAGCGCTCAGCTTGACGGATGAGACCTGAGTGGGATGAAAGATTTGGGTTCGTGTGCTCTCACGATATCAAGACCCCAAATCCGGAAATTGGGTTTAAGGGACCTAGGTGGACCTAGATGGACCTAGTTTTCGCCCAGGATTTGAACACGTGGAGTCCCCAAGATGAGGCAGTCCCCAGTGATTTCAGAACATAGCTTAATTGGCGGCTTCAATCCCACTGGCGAACCACAGTGTTCGCAGGGGTAGACACCAAAGCTTCCTGCATGACACATGGGCTGTTTGCCTGACTCAAGCACCAAGATTTTCACATCACCAAGGCCTTGCCACCCTCTCCATGCACGGTCCCCCCAATCCCCTGTACCATGAGATACCTTTAGATACCTTTAGTGAATGTGCTGAATGATCCTGCTACACCCAGCAATGCGTATCGTGGCAAGGATGGCGAGATTCTTTTCACGGCCACGGAGTTGTATCGAGACTTTCGAGGCCCGCGCCAGATGGAAGTCGTGGGGGCTCTGGCCTTGAAACTCGAGTTGATCCCACACTGGTCCTACACCACCTCTAAAGTCCTCGACTTAAAAAATGAAGGGTTGTAGTTCGGTTCGTGTCAGTTGTTTCATTTTCTGCGCACTCATCCTGAATACATAAGCAACTGCGAAGTGATTTTGCTTGGGCCCTTTACCTTGTGCTCTTGAGTATCATTCTACACAGGCACAGCTTTTGTTTCATCCTGTGGAGATGTTTGAACCTGTAGGCAATATGGTCATTGCATTTGATTGCCTTGGCCACTTATCTCGTTGTCGCGCCACAGGTTTCGACGATCATCTGAAAATTTGTGAGGACCTCTTTAGCGAATGCGATGGGTCACGATCTCTTCTGGGGGTGGACGTGCTGCTCGGCTGTGAATTTTCAGTCGTCAAAAGTTGCGAGTTGGAGAAACGCAGCGACCTTGGATGACAGGGTCGCACTCGTTGGGTGATGGTGCAATGCAATTTCCGCAAAGTCCAGCGAACGTTTTCTGAAAATGGTCCAAACTCCGTTTAAGGGGTCAAAATACGCGGTAACCACAAAGCCACGCTCAGGATATTCAAATTGTTTATATCTTTTGATTTTGTTTACCCCAGTGGTAGTCTACTCACTCCGATATCAAATGCTTGGAGTCCAGCAATTTACAACTCTGACGCATAGACCCCACAAGGAGAACCAAGGAAAACCAACCAAAAACTGAAGGCTTTCTTGGAAGGCTCGCACGAGGCCAAAAGATGTGAGGAACCATTTGAATAAGACCCAATTGGTCGTGGTACATCGTGTTCTCAACAAATTTCAGTACAGTTTCGAAAAAAGAAACTAGACGGTGAAATGTCCAACTTAGATGTTTACCTTGAAACACTGCTAATCTTGAAGTTTGGCTGTGCTAATCTTGAAAGTGACAACCTTGAAATATGGCCAAGATAGTCCACAGTGGAGCATGGAAGTTTGAACCCAAAAGAACAATCATTCCGTGGATTACTGTGAGTCAACGACATACCCCATTCCATCCAGCAGTTTGATATGCCATTTTCCCACTTAAAATTGCCATAAAATGTGGTATGGAACTTTTTAGACAAAGCCACAGCGCTTTTTTGACGATACCCCCATTGAATCCATTGAATCCTGATGAAATCTCCATGATTCTTATCCCCGATCAAACCTGAGACATGGGTCAGCTGAAGCCCTGGAGAAGTGCAAAGTGTTTGAGCAACTTGCCTTCGAGAAGTCATCGCAGCTGGGTCCACGCCGGAAAAATGGGGATTTGACCCAACGAATAGTGAGTATAGTATGGGTATATCATCAACCAACTGAATCTGCTTGGTTGTTTCATTCATTTTTCCAACCTTATTTGCGATAATGATCCCCAATGGCTTTCATGTTTTGGGGATCGGCTGCGGCATTCCCAAATATTCCCAAGCTGTTGTTGGTTTTGGTGCCATGTCATTGGAAACAATGCGAAACAAAATCTCAGAGTCCAGGTTTGGGTCTGGATGGCTCCCGTAAATCTCATTCCTCATGTCTAGGAAAATGAGCCCCAACAAGAGCATAAGGCGAAACTATGTTTCAGCTATTTGAGTCTTGCTTGTGAGATGAATCACTATGACTTGTCTATTGGAGACACCGCCAATGCCACTAGCACCGACAGCTGGGAGAATCAAAGCCCTGAAATTGGCTGAGTGGGGATAGTTGAGCCTTGATCCCTGAGAAAAATCCCAAAAAAATGTTTGAAAAGAGCATTTACAAATCATAACAGAATACTGAGTGCAACTCGTTCATCGTTTGACATTATTGCATGGTTGAGTTCCTTGACGATACACATAGAGATCTGTGGATTTTGACATACAGAGGAGGTTTGGACAAACCGATTCTTTTTCACACACATAAAGTGAGACTGGCCAGGAAAGGTATTTGATCTTGCGTTGTTGTTTAGGTATTTTTATGGTCTGGCTTCAGTCAATCATCCTCCTACTCAGGTAGCGATTGTCTTTTTTCGTTGCTTTGCATGCCCACCACTGCGTGTTTGTTGATGTTGCTCTACATGCTACACCAAAAACCACCCAAAAAGGATCTTTGAGAATGTATTCTGTGTTAATCTTCATGTTCTTTTTCTCTTTGACCCCTCCCCCGTCAGGGTTTCCGTGTGGAAATCACGGCCACCTTAGGAGTTCCTTTGCACCAGCACCTTTGCGACTCTTTCGCACAAGCCACGCAGCTGCATCGCGACCAGACCCAGGTGGTGAAGTTACAAATTTTAAACATATCTGTATTATGTTCAGTAGTACCGCACAAGGCGGTGGCGGAAGTTTCAAAGATAGGACACTATAGGAGAAGTGTGTTGTTGTGATGCATGGATGGCAGAGCGAATCCACTGATGGACCGAAAGGTGGTTGGAGTTGTGTTTTTTGGAGTGGTTGCAATGGTTGTGGCCACAACTGCTGGATGTAGTGTGGCGTAGTGCAGCTGTAGTTGTAGTTGTAGTGTAGTTGTAGTGTAGTGAAGTTGTAGTTGTGTGTAGTGTAACCAGTGTAGTGTAGTTGCAGTTGTAGTTGTGGTGTGGTGTAATGAATGTAGTGCAATGTGCCGTAGTGTAGTGTGCTGTAGTGTAGTCTAGTGTAGTGTAGTCTGGTGTAGTGTAGTGTAGTGTAAAGTAGCGCACTTGTAGCTGTAGTTGCCGTTGTAGTTAGTGTAGTGTAGCGTAGCGTAACGTAGTGAAAATAATGTGGCGTAGTGTAATTAATATAGTGTAGCGTAATGGAGTGTAGTTGGAGTTGGTTGTTGTGTAGTGTAATTAGTGTAGCGTAGTGATGTGTAGTGTAGTTGTAGCTGTAATTGTAGTCGAGTGCAGTGTAGGGTCAGTCATGTAATTAGTGTGGTGTAGTGTAGTTGTAAATGTAGCTGGTAGCTGTAGTAGCAACAGTAGTTGTAGTTGTAGTTATAATTGTAGTATAATTACGGCCGGCACTTGCGCTATGCCCGCAACTCTTTTGGGATGATTGTCAGGAACCTCATCTTTGCTGACCTTGACAGTACTTTGTGGCCTTCCACTGTGTTAAGATGTTATAACATGATGTCCCTCACGTCGCTTCGTGCGGGACGTGATTGATGACCCTCTGCAGAGTTTCGGCTGTCCCACAATCGCTGTTTTCAACACTTTTAACATAAACCATAGAGAACCTACAAAAACCCTAGGGAAAACCCGAAATTAACCTTAAAGAAACCCTAAATGAACCCTAAAGAAACCCTGCAAAAACCTTATATGAATGCGTATATAGTGAAGTACCTGGTGTGCGTAGCGGACGTGCTGCAGATCTAATTAGTGTAGTGTACTGTAATTAGTGTAGTGTAGTGTAATTGGTGTAGTGTAGTGTGATTAGGGTAGTGTAGTGTAAGTAGTGTATTGTAGCGTAGTATAGTTGCAGTTGTAGTGGTAGTGTGGCGTGGTTGTAGTTGTAGTTGCCTATCTAACTATCTATCTGTCTATCTATCTATCTGTCTACCTATCTATCTATCTATCTACGTATCTATCTATCTAGCTGTCTTTCTGCAAGTTTGAAAACAAAGCTATTCTGCGAGCCTTCCTCAATTTTCGAAGTTGACAACATGAAAATGAAGCAATTCTGCGCGCCACAACAAAATGTGCTTCGCACCACAACTTCCAAAAGGGGTCCGCGCATGAGGTGCTTTGTACTGTACATGTTGACTTGGAAATGTGCTTCGTGCCACAACGGCGTGCAACTTTTCATCTTTCATCTCCCCAGATGGCTCCGCACACGCCGTTTTAGCGAGCCTAATTTTCGACCCTCCGGAGCCACAAACCAGTGGAAAAGCACAGTGATGCTCGACTTTTCGACCTTTCCGCACACCTGCATCTTCTTTCTTCTGACTCTTTCTCTTCTCTAATCTTCTCTCTTCTTCTCTTCTCTTCTCTGACTCTTCCCACCTCTGAGTTTTCATCCGTCCATATTGTCGGAAGTTTGACTTCTAAACTTCCTTCGATTATGTAAGACTATGTGTATGCATCTATTTTTTAATTTTTACTTATTTACTTATTATGTATTTAATTTATTGTTTTATTACACCAGTAGTACCGCACAAGGCACTGGCGGAAGTTTCAAAAATAGGACACTATAGGAGAAGTGTGTTGTTGTGATGCATGGATGGCAGAGCGAATCCACTGATGGACCGAAAGGTGGTTGGAGTTGTGCTTTTTGGAATGGTTGCCGTGGTCACTTCAACCACAACTGCGGGATGTAGTGTGGTGTAGGGTAGTGCAATGTTTTGTAGTTACAGTTGTAGTAGTTGTTGTTGTTGTCGTATTGTAGTGTAGTTGCAGTTGTACTGTTGTGACTGCAGTGTAGTGTAGTGGTGGTGAAGTGTGGTGAAGTGGCATGTAGTGTAGTGCAGTGGGGTTGTAGTTGTAGCTGTAGTTGTATTGTAGTGTATTTATCGCTGCAGCTGTGGTTGATGTTGTTGTAGTTGCAATGTTGCAGTTGTAGCTGTAGCTGTAGTAGTTGTAGTAGTTGTTGTAGTTGGTGTCGTTGGTGTTGTTGTTGTAGCTGTAGTGTAGTGTAGTTGTAATGTAGCGTGGTAAAGTGGAGTGTAGTGTAGTGGAGTTGTAGTTGTAGTGGAGTTGTAGTTGTAGTGGAGTTATAGTTGAAGTGGAGTTGTTGTTGTAGTTGTAGTAGTTGTAGTAGTTGTTGTTGTTCTTGCTGTTGTAGTTGTGGCTGTAATTGTTTTTGTTGTTCTAGTAGTTGCTGTTGGCTTTAGCTCTTCTAGTCGTAGTTGTCGTAGTAGTTGTATTGTTGTAGTTGTAGCTGTAGTTGTATTGTAGTGTAGTTGTCGCTGCAGCTGTGGTTGATGTTGTTGTAGTTGCAATGTTGCAGTTGTAGCTGTAGCTGTAGTAGTTGTTGTTGTAGGTGTCGTTGGTGTTGTTGTTGTTGTTGTAGCTGTAGTGTAGTGTAGTTGTAATATAGCGTGGTAAAGTGGAGTGTAGCGTAGTGGAGTTGTAGTTGTAGTCAAGTTGTAGTTGTAGTGGAGTTGTAGTTGAAGTGGAGTTGTTGTTGTAGTTGTAGTTGTTGTAGTACTTGTAGTACTTGTAGTACTTGTTGTTGTTCTTGCTGTTGTAGTTTTGGCTCTGGCTGTGGCTGTAACTGTTTTTGTTGTTCTAGTAGTTGTTGTTGGTTTTAGCTCTTGTAGTCGTAGTTGTCGTAGTAGTTGTATTGTTGTTGTTGTTGTTGTAGCTGTAGTTGTTGTTTTTGTTGTTGTCGTTGTTGTGTCGTGTGGTGCGGTTGAACGTTTAAAGTTGACTGAACATGTGGTGTTTTACTATTTTGACTTCGAAATGTGCTTCGCGCCACAACGGCTTGCACTTTTTCTACATTCGAACCTCCGATTTTTCACATTTAACTTCGAAATGCGCTTCGTGCCACAACGGCATGCACATTTTGAACATCTCAACTTCCAAAAGTGGTCCGCGCATAAGGTGCTTTGTGCTGTACATGTTGACTTTGGAAATGTGCTTCGCGCCACAACGGCGTGGAATTTTTCATGTCTCATCCGGCCAACTGGCTCTGTACCCGCCGCTTTAACGAGCCTACTTTCCGACCTTCCGGGGCCACAAAACATTGAAAAAACACGATGCTTCACGACTTTTCTACCTTTTCGTGCGCCTTGATTGTGTTTCTTCTTACTCTTTCTCTTCTCTGATGTTCTTTCTTCTTCTCGTCTCTGCTGTTTGACTTTTTAACTTCTTTCAATAAATATATACGTATTGTTATCTAAACCCCCAAGATTAGTGGTTTTTGTCCTCAACAGGTTTGGAGTCCAAGTCCCTGGGGGTTCCATATATATCATTTGTTCACTTATCAATGGAATTACCCGAAGTCAGAAAAATCTCAAATCTCCGATGTGTCCTGGAGGGTGGACTCAGTCGACTTAGCCTGATGGATTGCAATCTTTTTTGGTCTTGCGGGCCTTGGAGAAAGCACAAAAAACTTAAGAAACCAAACGAAACGAAAAGTTAAAAATTCAGAGAAGATCTTCCAAGGAAAAAACACAGGAAAATAAATTGAACATAAATCTTGGTAAACTGGGACAAAACTAATGATAAAACCTGAGTAAATTCTGGATAAAACCTTGATAAACACCATATAATTTGGAATTGTTTGCTGGTCAATCCCATCACATTCGGCTGATGTGTCGTGGTTTCAACTTTCCGCAGGTGTGCTCATGTTGTCAGGACCATCGCCGGTCACATTGTTGCTCAAAGTGCGCCATGACAACTGTCTGGCCAATCTACCATGGCCCAGTAGGGGCCCTCCCGTTAGCAAAAGTGTACAGAGTGCTGAAACAAGGTTCACAAGCTTTGCTGCTATGGTGTGTGCAGCCTTTCTATGCAAAGATCATGGGACGTACACCAAATCAGCCACTTGTTTTTTATTTAAATCTCCTGTCCTATTTACCTTTGAATTTTGCCATTTGCCCACCAAATTTGGCATCCCTTTTTTGATGCCAATTCTAGCCCTCACAGTGATTCATCAGAGGCAGTACCTGAAGAGTTTGGACAGTGCTCTTAGCCGATTGCAGCGGTTGCATGGCACTCTGTATCCAGCAAGAAACTATCCAGTGGCCTGGGTAGTAGCGAGGCATTGGTGAGATAACCTTTTACTTTCAAAACCCCAGGGGTTAACACCTCTAGCTTTTCAGCTGCACATTGACGCACTTGTTTTTCCAGCGTCGCACCCCAGGTTTGCTCCGAAACGAGCATTCGCAAGGGACGGTACTCAGATGCCTTGGTGCCCAGCATCACTCTGTCTGAAAACATTCAGGAGACTGTTGTGCCAACCGGAAGCCTAGCCGTACAACTTTTGGATTGGGTCACTGTTGAGCTTTCGAAGAATGCAAAAGGAAGGAAGGCGGATAGTGACAGAACCCTGTGCCTCACATGTAACAAGAAGAACTTGTGTTTTGGATTGTTTTTGAATTTTATCCCTCATACCCAAAATCTAGCTTCACGCTTTCTTGCTGCCAACTGGCCCCCGGGCGCCCAGGGCTCAACTATGTTTGCGTGACTGGTTGCACCCTCTAAGCACTGGCACAATCGCAATCGAATCGATTGTGATTCTACAGGCCTGTATGAGAAAAAAAACTCATTCAATATCATTCGCCTTTTACCCATGGAACAACCCTGGCATGATTCGTTTGAGTGCCAAGACACTGTCGCAGCATGCTTCCCTGCAGGTGCATGTGCCTGTTGTTGAAGGCACGCTGATCTTTGACGATGTGAGTTCGGCGCCGCTGAGAAATAGCTGGTGGTGGCAATCCTGGCAGACATGGTTGGCCACTTTCATGGCCAATGATGGGCGCAGGGAGCAAAGCGTAAGGGTGTTTACTTCCACGCAGGTTGCTAGACTGGGCTACGCTCACATATGCCAAGTTTTATTTTTTCGATCAAACAGAAAAGCACCCCTGGCCCCTAGCTATATACGTTTCCAAACGCCTGCATAATTTTCTTCCTCTGAGTTTGGGTCATACCTGAACAACTGCAAACTATGTGAGCAACTGAGGCTGAACGCTTATCCTTTGGGGAATTTGTGGTGGCCCTAGTATGCCATTGGCACATGACGAATTCAGAGGATTCACAAAATCTCCTCGGACGCATTTTGGATTTCTGTGTTGAGAGCATGGAAAAGTGTATTGGTCAGTATGGGCGAAGTGCCATAGAAATGAAAAAAGAATTTCCTGGGTCACAGGGTGCGCCCATGGACAGAAGTTTGAAAGAGGCCATCTTGTTTTCAGTTTATATGGGCCAAAAAAAAACACTGGAAGATGCCTGCGAAGCAAGCGGGCATTCACGCGGAAGTGCTGCATCATGTCTTGAGGCCTGGGTTCAAAGCTGGTGGGGGTTGGGGTGTCCAAGGATGCTGAAGTTCAATTTTTTTTTGGCTCTGCCTTTAAACAGTCAAATAGTCATATCATTGACACTGAATCACGTCTTGAAAGGACCATTTGGCTTGCTACTTACACCGCCTTGGGCTGGAATTCCACGAAGCCAAGTACTTCCAGGCAGGATTTCTCGATTCAACCGTGATGTCCTATTGTCCTATTGTCATCAAAAATGGAATCACATCAATAGAAGGTTTCTTTTGAGTCAAGTTTTGTTCGGGTAGGTATTTGTGGACGCTGGGCAGCCAACTCCATTGAAGACTTTGTTTGGAGCTTGCTGGTCTCCTGACCGCCAACTTGGGGCAGTGCTCCCACTGCAGGTTTGCCCCCCAAGCCTTGCTTCTAGACTGTTTGACTTCGCAATGCTGGCATTTTGTATCATTTACTCGGAAAATGTATGACAAATCTCTCTATGAATCATATGTTTAGTGGCTCAATTTCTCAAGTATGAGTGCTCATAGCTAGCTGTATGCCAGTTTGCAATGTAATGTCAAATGTCGGACCCGCTTGCTATTGCAGAGTCCTTCGGGTGGGCAAAAGCTGTGCGGCTTGCAGCGGAGCAGAGCTTGGCTGCCTGCAACATTGAGCGATCGCTGCTCCTTCAAGGGCCAGGCACAGATACGGAATTCAGTGGCGGGGCCAGCGGTTGGGAGGTTGCTGCTCAGTGCTTGGGTTCAGCATTCTTGGCACATGGGTACAAAACCAGAATCCATCCTCTCAGCGCATGCGAACCCTGAACACAAGTACATCTGTCATAACATTGTTGTTCTCCTGATTTTTTTGGGGTTCCCACAAAAATGTCTCCTTGCCAGACATGCTCAAACAATCAGCCATGCCCAGCCAAGGAAATCAACGGCAAAATGCAGACAGCTCTGCTTCATAGACTCCCGCCCACAGCGCACTTGTTTACGGACATTATGGAGATTTTCGGGGAAGGGCCTACTTGGCACCGAAGATTCATGGATCAACCTGAGTATGAAGACAAGTTAAACCTTTTGTGGAATGTTGCGCCTAGACAGACACATGGGTATTGCCTCCAACATGATATGATGTGTCCATTCCAAACTGGTGCTTCTGGAAGGGTAGGAGGCACCCCATGTCAAGATTTCTCTTCAAGTGGGTTGAGAAAGCAACTTGCCGGTCCACAGCTTCCGCCACTCCTGGCATTTGGTGCCAAGTCATCCAGTCTGATGACACCTGCAGCAGGGCTGGAATGTGTAAAGGAGTTGCCAGGTTATGTGGTCATGGATGCATTTGGGCCAGACTATTCTTGGCCCCTGGCTGTGCACATGACCCCTTCGGATGTTGGTTTTCACTGCATCAACAGAACAAGGAAAGGGTTTAATTTAAAGTGATTCTGTTCCTTTGATGTTTGCAGACTTTCGCGAAACACCGGCAATTCTTAAACATGTTTACGGAATATAAAATCCAAATAAATTTCTCCTCGTTACGAGGCCCATTCAGCCGTTGCAGCTGTGCCCCCAGGCTGTATATGGGAGGTGTGCGTAATCGAAATGCAAGTCTATGCTTCGACCCGATGCAATTGCTGCAGTATACTTCGCATCTTTGCCAGCGCGAACACTGTTTGAGGTCACAACCTAAGCTGATGGGCTTACAAATCGTTTGGATAGGTTTAGATTCATGCAAATTGTTTGGCTAAAGTTTCGATGTCCGAGTGAGATTCAAAAATGCCCTGCCGATATTTAAGTCAGCCTTGCAGCAAGGGCCGCATTCTTATGGAGTCTGTTTGTTTTACTTTTCTTGCTGCCCTCCTTCCAATCGCCTAGGCCGCGCTCCCTTATGGCTTTGTCAAACCCTTGCCACATAGAGGAGGATCTGCATCACCTGGCGGATGCACGGAAGGTTGCCATGACTGACGCTTTCTCCTGCTACTTGCCCGCAGAGATCAAAAGGGCCCAGGTCTATGCTGAGAAGTATTTATTTTTAGATGAAGGTGCAAAATGCCCTCCATGCGACCTAGTTTGCCATATCGGGGATAACCCTGCGGGCACCAAGAAATCAACAGGTTGGTGCACATGGTCATGCAAATCAGGAAGGCTACCAACAATTCGAAGGAGCAGTGGCTTGTACATAGCCATTTTTCACAACCGCCACCTGCTGCTCAAAGAAATGTATTTGTCTATGGGTTACCCAAGTTATCCGCTGGCAGCACAGTCTGCGGGGGTTGCTCAATACGAAACATTTGTCCCTGGCTTGACCTACTTTGACTCACTTCGTGCCTTAGGCAATTCAATGCACGTGGCACAGGTTGGTGTGGCTATGGGTTGTTTGTTGCTTTGTAGTACCACCAAGCCATAGTGCAAAGACCACAGCATGGACGATGTGACATGACATAAGCGCTAAAAGGCTGACAGCCTGCAAACGCTAAACAAACTATGGACGCATGTAGACGGCTTAACATTTGGAATTGCCGTTGTTGAGAAGGAACCTGGATTGAATTGGTCTTTGATGTTTCAAAACTAAAAATGATTTGGTGTACGCGATTGGACTGTCAATCTTCAGCGACTCAAGCACGTGTGGGAGGAGCAGACTAGCTTAGTCTCTGTGCGTTGTGGTGGATCATGTCGGCACCACCACCACCCGGCTTTACTCACCCTCATGCTGCCCCTGCTCCGCGAGTGTCTTTTGCCAGCCCAGCAGCCCCAGCGCCACCTTTGCAGATGGTGCGCGCTCCAGTTGGCTTAGCTGCTCCTGGTGGAGCACCCAGGCCACCAGTTCCCCCCGCGGATCAGTTGCAGCAGATGGTACCGGCACCGGGGCAACAGGGCCGTCCCTTAGTTTAATTTGGTAATGTGTCAAAATAATGCCACAAAGTCATATATGTTAATTGACACATGCAAAGTTTGGGGCTCCCCTATTTAGAGACAGTCCAGTTTCAATATCAACATTCAACACGAAAGAGTTGTGAAAAGAAGGGGTCCTAGCTTCATGCTGCTTCAACCATTGAGATATGTCCATTTTGTTTTGAGCTGGGTTCCTGAATTGTGGTTTAGGAAACTTTCACTCACAAAATGTTGAGGTAGACCTTCTTCTCTTCGGAATGCGCCTGCGGCTGCGCCGAAAGCGGCTGCTCGTAACCAGGTTGGGGGCCAGCCTGCAGTTCCGAACGCGACCCGCCGAGTCAGGACTCCGACTTCGGAAGTGCTGAATGCTAAGGACCTCTATGATTTCAACTTGAAGGACAAGATCCATGTTCTGCACCATTCCAACCCTGGGCAGTGGACAGATCCAATGCTGCAAGGTGTCAGTAATGAAGATGCCACGGAGACTAGGTTGCACACACATGCACACATATGCAGACACCCTTTTCTAAAATTGACTCCCCCCACATTTTGTTTACATGGTTTTGGGAGTGGGTATCAATCCTTGAAGTGAGGAAATCATTGCATTCTTGCTGGACATCGATCCCTTTGCCCGTCCACGCAGCAGTGAGAACCAACGTCTCAAACTCAATTTCTTGAAGTTTTTTTCACCAGGGACATGCTGGGAGACCGGATGTTCATTACAAATGAGCTGAACATATGAATGTCATGAAGTAATTTGATTTATGTGGTATCCTGATTCCAATTCAGGCGTCCAATACCGTGATGGCCTGATCGACGAGCATGCCCGGCGCATTTCCGACGCAGAGATTCCAAGTAACTGCGCCTGGGATGAAACATGGATACAGCATGATACAGCATGCAAAGATTTGGGACCAGTCAATACTAACTTACTACAGTAAATACTGTAGCAGTTGCAATTTTGTTTCTACTGTTTCTCCACCCTTCCATTCATGTGGGCTACCCTGTTGCGCTGAGACAGCAGCCGTCAAGTGCTGGACTTTGTTCGCCAAGCTCGCGCCGAACGGCAGAATGCGCTTTCGGCCTTGCAAGTCTACAACACCCAGGATGGCTTGCAGGCTGTGTCGAATGGGGTGGAGCACAAGTATTTGCCCCGCTCTTTCTCGCCATGGGTCTGTCAGGTCATGTTGGATTGGTCGAAGCATGGCTGTAGTAGTTAGACCCTCAACAAGTACATGTTTCCTGACATGTGGATCTTACTCTATCTTTGGTCTACTATACCATCATGAATCTTTTTAAGAATCTTGGTAGCGGGGTTGCCGTTGTACACTAAGGACGAAAAAACCATATGCAACCAATGGGGTTGACAGCATTTGGATCGAAGACTATGTCACGGTTCAGCCTATCACCATGACAAGTATGTTTGTGGCTAGCAGCGAGGAGCCAGAGACAGAGGGTTTGACTGGGGAGGCTCCTGCCAAGGCCCCAAGTGTGGCACCCCCAGTGCCCCCCCAGACCCAGCCTGCACTTGCACTCGTGGCAAGCCCGGGAGCATCAGTTCCAGGGGCCGGTTCGGTGACAAGTGCGCCGGCACCTAGTCAAACAACAAATGCTAGTAGCATTGAACTGTTTTATTGAAGGTATCGATGCGTTTTTAGCTGAAGCACGCATGGTTTATGGTGCACATTTGCGCCCACTAAACATGTCACATGTTTGAATGCATTGAAGAAGCTGGTCTGACCGAAGCATGGTGATACTGTAATACTTGAAACATCTGGAAACTAAGGGTGACGAGGAGGCAGACGCTCTCAGCCTCGCATCCTCTGTCCGAGTTCGCTATTCGCATCACGTGTTTTATTTGCCAGATGGGAATGCTGTACTTGGCAAGATTGCTGACCCTGCATCAACTGCCATGCTCCCACCCAATCCACAGATGGATTATGAGATGCAAAAGAGCCCATCTACCGGTATTGAAGCAGTCTCGAGCATCAGCTTGGGGACCATTATCACTGCTACTAGCCACCACTTCATTTGGGGATTGGTAGGCACACATTCTGGGAGACATGAAGATTCACTAGCAAAGATCTCATTTAACATCGGTATTTTCTAGGTGAAGTTGCATGCATGGACTGCATGGACCCATTTTGATATCTAACATGTTGAAAAACAACTGCACCTACTCTGTCCCAGGTTGCGCAGGCCTTCGAGCAGCAAAGGCGTGCCACCAATGCCGCGAGAGCTGCTGCTGCTGTCGCTCCTGCTGTGCCGCCGCCGGCAAAAAAACTCCGCGTGAATGTTGCTTGAATGCATTTTTTGATTTGAGGTTTTTTTGGGATGCAGCATCTGTGAAACTAAAGAATCGCTTTATTTGCTCTACAAAACGAATGGCCAGTCAATGAGTTGAACCAATTTAGATGAGACACTCAAACACTGTTATCAAGTTCTTCGACAGACAGGCTTCTGGCGAATCGGCCTTTTCAAACACTGCAGAGGCACCTTACTACTACTTTTGGGTTTCGACTTTTCCAATTTTACCTAATGAAGCTAGTAGCTCCCAGCTCGACAGGCCGGAGATTCCCAACCAACTCTGGAAGAGGCTGGGGGGGGCACTGTCAGAATCTGAAAACACAGGTGCCCACATGGTCATCAAAAACTCCTTTTTGGGGAATGAGGAGCCTGGATCTACCCCATTAAAATCTCTTAAAACCTATTAAATTTGGGTTAAATTTGCCATAATTTGGGATAAAACTGGGAACCCCTAAATCCCACCGTGCCTATGGGCCAAGCACCAAGAAATTAAATTCTAGATAAACCCCAGATAAACCCCAGATAAATCCTGTTAAATCCCACATAAACCCCAAGTAATCTTAAACCCCACATAAATCCCAGGTAAATTCTACATAAAAAACTAAAATCTTTCCTCCTGCAACTTCAGGATGTGGCAGTGGCACATGATCCGGGTGCAAGCATGATGAGTGCTCCTGCGCCTCCTGCCGAGCCACCCACAGCATTGGTGGAGGCTGTGACGCCGGCCGAACCCAAGGCAGTGGCGCCGATTGCTCCTGTTGCTGTGCCGGCTACGCCTGCGCCAACACCTGCGCTGACGCCTGAGCCAGCACCTGCGCTGACGCCTGAGCCAGCGCCTGCACCTGCAACGCTTGTTGTTCCAGATGCTGGGGCACCCTCTGCACCTGATCCCAAGTCAGCAACGGCTCCCACACCGGCTGTATCGCCAGCACCAATGCTGCCGAAAGCACCAGCATTGACCATTGCATTGCCAGCTGCGCCCAAGAAAGCACCAGCCCCCAAAAGGAAGTGAGGGGCAACATGCAGGCTCTGTGGAATTGGCAAGTTTGACCTACTTAGACCCCCAATTTATTCCAGATTTGAAAAAAAAAATGTTTGGATTCTATTTAAGGGGCCCCTGCAAGTATAATGGGCACCAGCCGGTCAGTCCTGACATAGCCATTGCCTGCTCCATGTTGGGCGCAGCCTGAAATTCAATTCAGCAGCGGTGCACTACCATGCTTTAGCACCATAGTGGAAACAAAGCCAAAACGTCAAACCCAGGACCACACTCCAGCCTTTATACTTAACTGAGACATCGGATTTTCAAGGAAAGGTGGCTTTGGTTCCACAGGTACAGTGCCTCGAAAGTAGAAACAGCCTTGGTGAATGGCCCATGGTGCTTCGAACTGGTTGACCCCTCAACGTTACCAAAAAGGGATGTTTTGCCTTACTTCAACTTTGCATTGGGAACACTGGAATATGGGACACCCTTGATTCATTGAACCAAATTTGAAACAAAGGTGTGGATTGGTTACAATGTTGCGGTTTTGGGACATGAGATTTGTAAACATCTATATGATATATGTGTATATAATTTTATTCAATAAGTATCTATCTATTATCCACTTATCTATCTATCTATCTGTACATATGGTTTTGAAACTCGGCGTTTCCAAACCCTCAAGTCTTAGGGGAATATGCACGAAGAAAGTTTGGGTATATATGTTGGTTACACTTGCATGCATACCGTTCAAGGTGGTCCATTTGGGATCCAAAAAAAGGGGCTAACCAGTTCGCAGGAGAATTATGGAATGGGCTTACGTGTTGATGTGTAACTTCAAAAAAGGTTACCACTATTTACCATTATTTGTCTGGAACATGTATGACCAAAACCCACAAATGTGATATGTTCTTCAAGCCCCTGTTCTCTTCACGTTGCTGATTTGTCTCTCATTTTGATTCATTCCGCAGAGAGACTGGCATCAGCGGAGTGCACCATCCGTGGAAGTGGCAAGACAGTGCTGCACCAGCCAAAGTTCGATCTGCCAAACGCCATGGCTCTTACTCGAGCATCTGTAGGGTAACACCCCAAGAAAAATTTGTTGTGATTTCCTGTGCAACCAGTCTTTTCGTAACAGGTAGAAAATGTTGAGGTCATATCTTGTCACTACCACCCCAGCGCAGGTATGTGAAAAAACTGAGCTCACATCGGATGCTTTGTTCGAG